CACCACATAAAAATAAAATAAAGATGTTGTGTCCTCCGAAAACTGAAAAATAAATATTAAAAAATTCTCTCTTTCTCTTTCTTAAAAAAAAAAGAAAGAAATGTAAACCAACTTGCTAATTACCACTACACAAAATTTTTACTTCTGCAGGGAATTTGATTGGAATTTTGTTGAATCTATATTTCAATATGCAGAGAATTGACAACTTAACAATATCAAGCTTTCCAATCCATAAACCTCAAGTATATCGTACTATTAGTTATTTGGTTTTTCAATTTCTTTCTTCAATGTTTTGTCCATTATATGCAGATGTTGCACATATTTAGTAAGATTTATGTCTAAGTATTTCATAGATTTTTTTAGTGTTATTATAAACAATTCTTTGTGGGTTTTTTTGGGGGGAGGAGCGTGGGTAGTGGGGATGAAACCAGTGGTGTTCTAACACTGAGATTAATCCCAGCCCTTTTTTACTTCTAATTGTGAGACAAGGTCTTGCTTAGTTGTCAAGGTTGGACTTGAACTTGCCATCTTCCCTCCTGAGTTGCTGGGATCACAGACTTACGCCACCATGCCTGTATTTAAAATGATCCTTTACAAAGATACATTTCAGCTTTAATTTATTTTTATATTTTGGTCTTATAGTCTATGATCTTGCTAAACTTCCTTTTCAGTTCATGTATGTTTTTGTAGGGGTTTTGTTTTTGGAATTTTCTATAGACAACCATAGTTTTTTTTTCCTTCTTTTTAAATCTGTATGTCTTTTATTTTTCTTGTCTTGCTATAGTATCGGGGGTCCCCAGTACAATATGGAGGAGGAGAAAACATTCTAGCCATGTGTCTCATCTTGGGGGGAAAGCATTCAGTCTTTTTATTTTTTATTTATATATGACAGCACAATGCATTACAATTCTTATTACACATATAGAGCACAATTTTTATATCTCTGGTAGCATTCAGTTTTTGCCAGCAAACATAATGCCAGTTGTATACATTTCTGTATGCAAATGCTCTTTATCTCATTGAGCTCATTTCCTACAGCTTCTAGTTTGTGGAGAGTTTTTATCAGAAATCGACATGTGTCAGTCATCTTTTCATCATTATGTCAAAATTACGTGACATGAACAACTTAAGAGGAGGAAAGCCCTGGGTTCATTAGCTCCGAGTTCTCAGTGGATGGTCTGCTGGCTCCATTGCTGTGGGTCTATGAAGAGGCAGAGCATGATGGCAGAGAGGACATGGTGGGGCAGAATTGCTCATCTCACGGAGGGCAGGAAGCAAGGAGAGAGGGTGGAAAGGGCTAGGGACAAGGAACAGACCCTGAGGGCATGCCTCCAAGGACCCACTCCCTTTGTTCAGGGCCTACCTCTCACAGCCTGCACCTCTGAACATTGCTGCTCTGGGAACCCAGCCTTCCCCACAGGAGACTTGGGGGCACAATCCAGATGCAAACCTAAGAGACATCGAGTGTTGTCAAAACATTTTTTTTTCTGTATCTATTGTGATACTTATATATTTTTTTCTTTATCTTATTGATATGGTAAATTACATTGCTTGATTTTTGCATGTTGAACCCACCTTTAATTCCTATAATAAATACCACTTGGACCTGATGTATTGACCTTTTTATATATTCCTGGATTGCATTGATTTCTCACCATAACATTTTTATAATGAAACTCTTTTGTTCAGAATATTTACAACCATGTTTGCGAAGGATCTTAGTGTATAACTTTATTTTCTTGTGATGTCCTTGTGCGTTTATATCAGGACAGTACTTGTTTCATACAATGAGTTGGGAAAAAAATATCTTCTATTCTTTATTCTGAAACAATCTGTGTGAAATTCATATTATCTGATTCTTGCTGGTGGGTAGAATTTTCCAGTAAAGCCATCTGGTTCTGGAAATTTCTTTTAGTTTGTTTGTTATGGTACTGGGAGTTGAACTTGGAGTGCTCTTCCACTGAGCTACACCCCAGAATTTTTTAGTTTTTATTTTATATAGGGTTTTACTACATTGCTGAGGCTTTTCTCAAACTTGGCCTAAGCTTCCCCAGTCACTGGGATTATGAAATGTCCCCCATGCCTGGCTTATGTTTATTATTAGGATATTAACTACAAGTTGAATCATTTGAAGAAAATATACGGAACTGTTCTTGTTATCTAATTCTTCCTGAATATGCTTTGACAGTTTGTCTCTTTCAGTGCTTTGTTCATTTGTCTAACTTGCTGAATTTTTGGTCATAGACTAGTTCATAAGTGTCACCTATTATCCTTTTATGGCCACTCTCTCATTCCTGACAGTTGTTTTTTGCAGTATTGGGGTTTGAACTCAGGGCCTAGAGCATGGTAGGCAAGCACTCTACCACTGAGTTACGTCTCCAGGTCGTTCCTGATATTTGTAATTTGTGTATTTCCTGTTTTATTTTCTTGGTTGATTTTTTTCAATTAATACCTTTTGGTTTTGGTCATTTTTCTCTAATTATTTTGTTCTGGGTTTAATTCATTTCTGCTTTTAACTTTTCCCCCTTCCTTATGATTGCTTTTCTTTTTTTTTTTTTTTTTCAATGGTGGTCTATTGGCATTGAATTCTCTCTTTTTATTTATTTAAAGTCTTTATCCCTCTTTTTTGTTCATTTGGTTTTCTAAATAAAATTCACAAAATGAAATGTAGTGGCATTTAGTACATTTACAATGTTGTACAATTATCACCTCTATCTAGTTCCAAGATATTTTCCTCACCCCTATAGAAAACCTCATAATTATTAAGACATCACCTTCCATTTTCTTTCCTGTAACCCCTGGAAATCTTTAGTTCACCATCTGTCCCTGTAGATCTACATCTTCAGGGTGTTCCTTATAAACAGTATTATAGATATCTAATACCTTGTGTCTGGCTTCTTTAACAAAGCACAATGTTTTCAAGGTTCACTCATATTGCAGCAGGTGACAGTAGTTTAATCGTTTTTATGGTTAAGTAATATTCCATTGTACAGGTACACCACATTTTGTTTATCCGTTTGTCAACAGTCTTCACCTCTTCCCTACTGTGTATAGTGCTCCTTATGGTTTAGATATAAGTTTTTCCGAAAAAAGCTCATGTGTTAGACAATGCAGGAATATAATGTTCAGAGGTGAAATGATTAGAATATGAGGGCTCTACCCTAATTGGTAGATTAATCCATTTTATGGATTAATAATTAAATGGATGACTGGGTGGTAACTGTAGGCAGATGGGGCATGGCTGGAGGAGGTCACCTGGGGCATGCCCTTAGGAGTTGTATTTGTCCCCAGCTCATTGCTTTCTCTCCCTCTGCTTCCTGGCTTCCAGGAGCTGAGAAGGTTCCTTCCACCACACCATTCTGCCATGATGTTCTGTCTCATCTTGGGCCCAAAGCAATGGAATTGGCCAACAATGGAATGAGGCCACTGAAACTATGAGCCCCAAATAAACATTTTCTCCTTTAAGTTGTTCTTGTGAGGCAGCAATGAAAACCTGACTAGCACAATGCTACATTGAACATTCTTTTTTGTGTATGTGTTGTGCTGGGGATTGAACCCAGGACTCTGTGCATGTGAGGCAAGCACTCTACCAACTGAGCTATATCACCAGCCCCTGCATTGAACATTCAATGCAAACCTTTGTTTGAGTCCCTATGGTTACACCTAGGAGCAGAACTGCTGGGTCATATGGTAAATCTATGTTTAACTTTTTGGGAAACCATCCAACCAATTACCACAGCAGCTGCAGCATTTTACATTTCTACAAGCAATGCACAAGTGTTCCAGCTTTTTCCTTTATCATCTCCAATACTTGTTATTTTCTGATTTTTAAAAAATTTGGCCAACCTAGTAAATATGATGTTATCTCTCATTGTGGCTTTGGTTTGCAATTCCCTCGTAACTAATGATGTTTAGTATCTTTCCATGTAGTGTTGATCATTTCTATATCTTCTCTGGAGAAATGAGTATTCAAATTTTTGTCCATTTTTAAATCAAATTGTTTGACTTTTTGTTCTTGAATTGTACAAGATGCTATCAGTTACATTCCATTCAACATCTATATAGAGAGATCTATAATATAAAAGTATGTAGAGATATAGATAGATACAGATATAGATACACATATTCTGGATACTTAGCCTTTATTAGATATATGATTCCCAAATATTTTCTTGTGTCCGTGTTATCTTTTTATTCTCTCAACAGTGTTCTTTGATAAATACCAATATTTAATTTTGATAAAGTCTAATTTATCCATTTTTTTCTTTTGTTAGCTCCATGTTTGATGTTACAGCTAAGAAGTCATCTACTAGTTCAAGGTCTTGAATATGATTTATGATTTATTCTAAGAGTTTTATAGTTTTAGCTGTTATATTCATCCCTTTGATTTTTTTCAGTAATTTTTCTATATGGTGCAAAGTAATGGTTGAACTTTATTCTTTTGCATTTGGATGCCCAGTGTACTTAGTACCATTTATTGAAAAAAAAAATTCTTTTATCATTAAATGGTCTTGCCACCCTTGTTGAGAATCCATTGACCATAGTTGTGAGGGCTTATTTTTGACTCTCAATTTGATTCCATTGGTCTCTATATTTAATTTTATTTCAGTACTGTGCAGTGTTGGTTTCTGTGGTTTGTAGTAACTTTTGAAACTGGGAAGTGTAACTCTTTCAATTTTGTTCTTCTTTTTCAAGATTGTTTTGATTATGCAAACTCTCTTGAAATTCTGTATGAATTTGAAAATCAGCTTTTCCCTTTCAGCAAAAAATGACTAGTGGAATTTTGATTGGGATTACGTTGAATCTGTAGATCACTTTGGGAGTGTTGCCAATCCATGAAAACAAAATGTCTTCACGAATTAAGATCTTAATTTCTTTCGGTCACATTTTGTGTTTTTTCAGTGTATAAGTCTTGCCCTCCCTTGATTAACTTTGTCCCAAATATTTTATTCTTCTTGATGTTATCACCAATAAGAATTATATTCTTCATTTCCTTTTAGGGGAGGATTCAAGATGGCGGATTAGAGGAAGCCTGCATTCCTAGTCACTCCAAGGCTCAGGATTCAAGCAGCAGGATTACTGTTTCTCAATGAGGTGAGTGAAAGAGGGATTTCACTAAGCTCCAATATTGGATAGCCAGAGTGTCTTAGACACTCAGAAATGTGGGTACATTAAGAAAGAAGGAAGACTGCATCAGAACCAGGGCAATTGTGGCGGCAGCGATAGTGAGGCTGGTTCACCTCAGAGGGAGGGAGAACACAGAGGAAAACACAGCTGACAGTTCAGTATGGAAAACGAGATCTGAGAAGCAGCTCGACCTAACTGATCCAGAGGCTGCACAGGGTGCTCACTGGGGCTTGAGAAGGGCTCCCCAACACTCAACTGGGGTGAAGATCCAAGGCGGGAGCTCTTTTAAGGGAGCCACAGCCACAGTTGTTGCTGGAGCGTGGAGATCAAAGCCAACACTGCCACACTGTCCAGGCAAGCCCCTACCATGTGGCCTAGAGTGTACCCTGCCGAGGGTGAATGAGAAGACTGCAGCTGGGGATGGGGGTGGGGAGACTCCAGTTGGAAAAGTGAAGGGGAGCCCAACTGGCTTCTCCTTCAAGTCTGCTGAGTCATGTGACCAGGTGAAGTTGGTAAGAAATCTTACCAGGTGGGTGTGAATACACTCAGGGACTAAGCCTGGAAGAGGTGTGTTCACAGCAGTAGAACACAGTGGAACAGTGGAATATTGGGCTCCCGTCCCCCATGAATAGAATTCTTGGGAGGCTTCTGAGATCCAGATTCTTGACAGAGATCAACAACTACCAGGCCCTAGAGGTGTATTGATCTAATCCTTCCAGAGCACACTCACAGAATTCTGCCAAGGCTGCACCCTGGTCTGTGCAGACAAACTGACAGTACATCCCACTCCATCCTACCTCAACATGGTAGGAAGAAAATCTGAGAATTAATTCAAGAAGCTTTAGACTTGGGTCACTCCACCTGGCAGCTCAGAGAGCAACACAAAATGACGAAGGCGTTAACAACCCCCAGCCTTTGCTTTTGCTCTCAGTACATAGCTCAAGAAGAAACACAAAGAAAGAGAGTCAGGCGACGACAGGGACCATTCATTCTAGCTGACTATTTTGACCATCTCATTTATTCATGGAAGAATCTTTGTCCTTGTGTGTGTATGTGTGTGTGTATGTGTGTGTTCTTGTTGTGTTGATTGATTCAAGGACATATATACATGTATGTTTCTTCTTCTCTTCTGCTTCTTCTCCTTTTTCCATGCCTTGACTTTTGAGGTGTAGGATATGGGGCTGTACATCTTGGTTTTGTTTTGTATTGTTTTCATATGTTTCTCTTTCTCTCTTTTCTTCTTTTGCTAACAGCCAGATTCTGTGATCTTTCTCATTCCCTTTACTTTGTTTCTCCTACTTTCCCCCCAGTCTCATAATCATCACCCTCTACATCTCTTCTGTATTCTCCCTTTTCAGTTTTTGAAATTGTAAACTATTTTCTACCTTCCTGTCACATTTTCTTTTCTCTTACTTGATTGTATTTTACTATCTTTTAAAACAAAATGGTTCATATACTTCTGCCCCCACCGCTAATGCTGTTGTAAATATTACTTCTGTGGATGAAATAACATTTGACACCTATCTTTTGTTTTAATGTCAGATCTACTTTATTGTTACTTATTGTTTTGGCTGTTGGCAGTTACTGACCCCAACACCTCTGGGGTTTTTGTGGCAATTAAGAGTGTAGATGTCTTAAACGAACAAGTTGTTCATTTTAAAGATATATATTGTTTTCCTTGGCTGTAGCTATTGTTTGTTTTCCCTTATTCTGTAAGGTGTTGGGAAACTACAGGGACACTAAAAGTTCATAGGTAGAGACTCTTCTACTGAACTAAACTCAACCAAAAGCCATTGCGCCTTGCTCCACACACAACTTAATGACAATCAATTTTCAGCTATACCTTAATTCAAAGAATAGAAGAGACAAAAGCCCAAACTAATGACCAGGCCCCAAGTAGAAGTGACTAGAGATGGGCCCCAGATCCCACCTATGGACATCCACTGCTAAAGCAAAAATAGAGAGAATACATAATGGAGTTTTATTTAGCCATAAAGAAAAATGAAATTATGTCATTTGCAGGAAAATGGATGGAACCAGAGACCATTATGTTAAGCAAATTAAGTTGAACCCAGAAGGTCAAGGGTTGAATGTTTTCTCTCATATGCGGAAGCTGGAGAGGAAAAAGGAAAAGAAAGGTGGAGGCAGATCTCATAAAAATCATGGGGAGATCAGTAGAGGAAAGAGACCAAGGGGTGGCCAGAGGGAAGTGCTGTGGAGTGACATTGGCTAAATGATATTACTATATTGTGTGCAAGTAGGAATATGTAACAACAAATATCATCGTTATGCTACCAATCAAAACTGAGGAAGAAAAAAAGAATTTAAAAAATTCCTTGTTGGATTGTTGCTAGTATATAGATTTAGGATTGAGTTTTCAGAGTTGATCTTGTATTCTGCAGCATTGCTATATTCACTTATTAGCTCTAATTGTTTATTTTTGTGAATCCTTTAGGGTTTTTCTATATATCAGATCATGTCATCTATGAATAGAGATCATTTTACTTCTTCTTTTCAAATCTGGATCTTTTATTTCTTTTTCTTCCTGATTTCTCTGGTCAGAACTTCCAGTACAATATTGAATAAAAGTGGTGAGAGTTGACATCTATGATCTAAGAAGAAAGCTTTCAGTGTTTTACCACTGAGTTAGGTTTGCTTTTCAAAAGTGCCTTTAATCATTTGAGAGTGTTCCCTCTCGTTACTACTGTGATATATCACATATATGTATATGTGTGTGTATATATCTAAATATATAGTATAATATATTGATATATAGTATATAATATATATTATATGTAGTATATATAATATATATACATTTATATATATACATATATGTATATTTAATTTTTTTTTGGTTGTTGATGGACCATTATTTTATTCATTTATTTATATGTGGTGCTGAGAATTGAACCCAGTGCCTCACACATGCAAGGCAAGCACTCTACCACTGAGCCACAACCCCAGACCAGAATATATACATTTATATATATATTAATCACAAAGACACATTGGATTTTGATAAAGGCTTTCTGTGCATCAATTGAGATGATCATATAGTATTTTTCATTCTGTTAATGTGATACATTACATTGATTTTTGCATGTTGAACCATCCTTGCATTCTGGCATAAATTCCACTTGGTTATTGTGCATGCTCTGTGTAATCCCTTGAATATGCTCTTGAATTGTTTGCTGAAATATATAAAGTAAATGTGTTGTACAAGCTCTGAGCCATTCCCTCTCCATCAGAGGGTGTTGTCCCACCTAATCCCAGCTTTTTCTCTTTTTGTGTGTCTGTCGTTTCTTTAGTCCCCAGAGCCCCTCACCAGTGTTTTCTGAAATAATGGCTGTGACTGAGAGATGAGGTTACAGCAGTAATGACTTCATGTTTTGTCATTTAGCTTTCTAAAAATAAGTATATTTTGAAAGACAAAATTGAACCTCTAAATTGTAGATGGAAAATCAGTATCACATGTCATAAATATCAGGCAACCACTAAAATCAACTCCAAGAAAACAAGAAAGACAAATATTATTCAATCCAGTTTCATGAATTTGGCTGCCCAAGGCTCTGAGCTTGAGGCCTGTTCTCTTTGTTAAAATGAAGGTGAGCAAGTCTCAGAGAGGTGTTAAGGACACACTATCCCCTTACTGAGACTTTCCCTTTGAAGTAGCCCAAGGGGAAATCCATCAGCTTCCCCCAAGGGATTCCTGGTATTGAGAGTTCACCTGAGGTCTGCAGCCCTCCCCCTGATGGAGGCTCTGGGCCAGGTCTCCCTGAGGGCCACTCTGTTGAGGGTCTATTTTCACCTCCCCACTTTTCTCCTGATCCTGGACCTTCCCCCATGCAGTCCCTGTCCGTGTGCTGGAGCTGAGCGAGAGTCACCCTGCCAATGGGGAGTAGACAGTCCACTGTCGTGGCTGAGGCATGCCCCAGCCAAATATCACCTGGTCTACCTGCAGAGACCTCAAAAGGTGAGCAGATCCTGGACCTTAGTCTCCTAGGGTACCCCAGCAGGCTAGAAGGACCCAGTGGAACTTACTAGTCTGCCCTTTCCTCTTTCACATTGCTCCAGACTAGAGTCACACCCTAGAAGACCATTCCATCACCTCCTTGGATATGCTCTGCATGATCTAAATTGTCTCTTTCTTACCTTGACACCTGGACTATCCTCTGCCCAGTACAGTGGAGGGTCTGCACCCAGAAAGACCTCACCTACCCAGTAGATGTTCTTTTCCTCTGACTTGGGCTCATGGTGGTTCAGTGGCTAGAGGCAGGGTTGAGTTGAGGTTCTGACCCTATCTCAACACACTGTCTGTGTGACCTTAGTCAAAATGAGGAGTGGATTTTGCCATCTAGGGTTCTAGATCCTGGAAAGGGGTCATTACCTGCTGATCAGTCTAGGGAATCACTGGAGGAATCCGCTTAGGACCAGGGAGCTGGTCACAGGAGCTGGACATGCACTTTTTCACTGAGCGGTGCTGTCTGCTTTTGGCCTTAGTCTCCACCTCTGCAGAAAGGTGGGTCTGCAAGTCGATCCTGATCTCTTTGAATAGGTGTCCTCGAGAGCTGCCGCCTATACGGCTCAGGAACAGTTCCGAGGAGGAAAGCCAGTTGGAGACTAATGTGACATACTGCACCACATGGATCAGCCGCTGTCCGTGTGCTGTATGTTGTACAACCCGCTGGGCTAGGATGTTCAGGAGGTTACCGTGGTGCCACATTGTGAGTCTCCCCAGCTCATCCCCACCTTGACCCTGCCATACTTGGGGACCAAGCCCATGCCCCCTCAGTGGGCCAAGTCAGCATACCCCTAGGTACACAGGAGCTTTGTGAAATCCATCAGAATATATTTCTCTGCAGCATACACAGTACATAATGGGCACATGTGTACAAACATGAGTGTAGAAACCATGGTTTGAGCAGTGCAGTCTGCTTCTACAGAGAGAATGTAAGCTGGATGGTGGAACTTGAGCAGGCCTGATCCCAGGACACAGGTGCAAACTTTCTGTGTGTAGATTTGTACTTTGGGCTGAAGAATGCCTAATCCCAGATACACAAATAAAGGTAGTGTATATGTCTGTAAGCATGTGTTCAAGCATGCATGAAGCTTGTCGCTGTGTGTAAACCCACAGAATATATGTTTATAAGCCATGAACATAAACATGCCCAACTTCCAGGCTCATGTATAAATCCCCATACATGGATACAAATAATACATGTGCAATTCCTATTATAGTGCGTGTCTGTAAGCATATCATTGCAGCATACCATTCTTGAAAAATGTGCAAGCACAATACTTGAACACACTGTACAGTGCATATATCTTATAAGGGACACCTACATGCATAAATCTATGCATATGAGCAGTCCTAGCAGTGCACAGATGTGTTTGCATGTCTAGCTGCCCATTTTTGTGTGTGCATGCATTTGTATGAATGCAATTCATTCATTTCCTCTTTATCTTATTCTATGAATAGTTACAGGGACTCAAGTTCTCGAGGCCAATGGACCAGCCTTGATGCCTTCCTAATGCCTATAGTCCAAAAACCAGGGGACAACGTGGTGGGACTAAGCACCTTTCTCCTGGCCACCCTGAGGAGAAAGACTGAGGGAGAAGTGGTCAGCTATGGGATTGAGGTAGTATCTTGGGAAAAAGTCCTATAGGTCAAACCTGAAAGATGAATTTAAGTTAACCTGGTGAGGAAGAGTGTTCCAGTCAGAGGAATGGCCTGTGCGAGCAGGGTGGGTTCTAAGAATGTAAAGGAATGCAAGCTGCCAGGAGCATGCAGTGTGTGAACGCAGGGTGAGCAGTATTTACCCCTTGATTATCAAGAGGCACTCCCCAAACACCCAGACCCCAAAATACTGACAATAATGTTTAATATGGGTTATGATCTATGCAAGACCTGGGTGTCCCTAGCCAAGAGACACCCAGCTACCTACCATGGCTACCTACCTCCTGCTCCAGCACCAGAAAAGCCAGGGGTACGGCTTCATGTTCCAGAGGAAGCCTGTGCCTCCCATGGTTAAGCCTCACCCATGCCCCCTGGATCCTTCCCATTCCCCTGTCCTCCCAATAAGGAGACCCAGTGAGCCTGCCCTTCGCACCTTCTCCTTGCCCTGTGAGCTTCCTCTGCCTGAGGAGGCTAAACGCTTAGGGCAGAAGCATATCAGGAGGGCCAGCCAGCCGCCTATTCACTTCCACTTCCCGCCTACAAGAACCCCCACACCTGGGTTAGCCTCCCAGTCTGACTCTGGGCAACTCCACGCCAGCAGAAAGCTCTGGAAGCAGGTAACTAGGGGGATTGCTACCTGTGTCCGACAACTGTGCTGTTGCATACCACGTGTCAGCAATGGGGTGGCTCCAATGTAAGAGGGCAGAACCCTGCCAGATTCATGAAGTGTGGCTCCAATGAAGGGGAGAGCTGACCAGACAATATCAGGGGGCAGCCAGAGGACCCTGTTCTCTGTGGATCCTGACACCTTGCTTGGGCCTCAGTCATATGGACTCTGAACAGCTGCAGGAGAAGATGTGCCAACCACCTCAGGTTCCTCTGCATGGGTTCCAGCCCAGAGCACTTCTGCATCCACCTGGACATCAGGAGTCTCCTCTGCCCCCACCTGCAGAAGACATCAGAGACGGCTCCCCTGGGACACTCCCCCTGCCCTGCTCCTCTGTCCTTTCCCCCATTCTCCTGAGGTGTTTCTTAATAGTTTTTTTTTTCAAACAAAGTGTGTAGTAAAATCATAGTTATATAAAAAAATCCTTATGATCTATAAAGGAAAATAGATTTTGATAAATTAGACTTAATTAAAATTTAATGTTTCTATTCTTGGAAGGAGGTGATTAAAAGTCAAACCATAGAGCAGTACAAAATATATTTTCATGTATCTTATAAAAGACTTACAGCCAGAATATGTAAAGAAATCTTAAAATTCAATAAAATAATAATTCAATAAATATGGGAAAACCTTTTGAATGAAGATGACATACTGATGGTGAATATGTACATCAATAGATCTTCAACATCAGAGATCAATCTAAGATGGCGACTGTGGAACCAGAAACCACCCCTACTCCTAATCCCCCACCTACAGAAGAGGAAAAACAGAATCTAATCAGGAGGTTGCTAACCCAGAGCACTATATAAAACATCCTCTACAGAACAGATGGGCACTCTGGTTTTTTAAAAATGATAAAAGTAAAACTTGGCAAGCAAACCTTCAACTGATCTCTAAGTTTGATACTGTTGAAGACTTTTGGGCTCTATACAACTAGATCCAGTTGTCTAGTAATTTAATGCCTGGCTGTGACTACTCATTTTTTAAGGATGGTATTGAGCCTATGTGGGAAGATGAGAAAAACAAATGGGGCGGAAGATGGCTCATTACATTGAAAAAACAGCAGAGACGAAGTAACCTTGATCGTTTTTGGCTAGAGACACTGCTGTGCCTTATGGGAGAATCTTTTGATGACTACAGTGATGATGTGTATGGAGCTGTTGTTAATGTTAGAGCTAAAGGTGATAAGATAGCAATATGGGCTACTGCATGTGAAAACAGAGAGGCTGTTACACATATAGGGAGAGTATACAAGGAAAGGTTAGGACTTCCTCCAAAGATGGTGATTAGTTATCAGTCCCATGCAGACACAGCTACTAAGAGCGGCTCCACCACTAAAAATAGGTTTGTTGTTTAAGAAGACACCTTCTGAGTATTCTCATAGGAGACTGCGTCAAGCAATCGAGATTTGGGAGCTGAACCAAAGCCTCTTCAAAAGCAGAGTGGACTGCATTTAAATTTGATTCCATCTCAGTGTTACTCAGATATAAGAGAAGTCTCATTCGCCTTTGTCTTGTACTTCTGTGTTCATTTTTTTTAAAAAAAATTTATTATAGTGTCCACTATCCCAATCAAAGAATTACAGTCCACATCATCCCCAGAATCCATAAATGTGTTCCTGGCCCACTCTGTATTAGCTTCGTAGAATTACCATTACAAACAAGTTTTACCCATCCACAATATTCAAAAGAACTTGTGTTTCTATACCTTAATAGGAAAAAAATTGAGCTTATGTTCCATTGTATGCAGGGGCATATTTTGCTGGTTTGAAAGAGTATGATGCATACAGTTTTCTAGCAATTTTCTTTGTTTCTTTTGACAGCATTATCTTTGCTGTACTCTTGCTGATGGCTGCTAGGTTTTAATTTATTTGTTTCCCTATTGATAACATTAGTGATTCTGATTTCAGTTTTCCATTTGTTTTGCTTTTGTTTTTTCCTCATGTAACATTGGTGAAGGATCCAGGAATATGACACAAAGGTGGAATAAACATTAATTTTGTGCAAAAAAAAAAATAGATGTTCAACATCAATATTTATTTAGGAAAATAAAATTAAAATCAAAGTGGAATACCACCACATAGTTGGAAAAGAAAAAAAACTGGCAATTTTAAGTTTTTAGAAATATCAATTTCTAGAACTTTCTCTATATATGGCTAGTGGGATGCATAATGTAGCCCCCCAAAAATCCATTTGTCAGTTTCTTGTGAATTTAGAAAACACATATAATCCAGTATCCTAGGTATCCCAGGTTAAATGGAAATTTATGTTCACACAAAGCCTCTACATAAATGTTTATAGGTGCTTTATTTGTGATCACCTCAATCTGGTAACAATTCAAATGTCTCTTAGCTGTAGAATGGATAAGCAAACCATGGTATGTTCATACTGTGAAATGTTTCTCAGCATGAAATGGAACAAACTTCTGATATAAACAATAACATGGATGAAAATCAAATACTTTATGCTGAAGGAAAGAAACCAGATTCAAAAGGCTATGAAGTACATGATTCCACTCACATGGCTTCTGGAAAAGAGAAGGCAGACCACTGGATGCCAGGGGCTGGAGGTAGAGAGACAGGGGTGAACTACAGAGAATCTTTGCTGTGCTGGCACATTGAACCCAGGCCCTTGTGCAGGATAGGCAAGCTCTCTAGCACTAAGCTGTAACCCCAGCACAATGGGGGAACTGTGTATCTGGATTATGAGACCATATTGTAACTATATATGTTTGTCAAAAGTAACACAACTGATAGCCAGGTGCAGAGGTGCACACCTGTAATCCCAGAAACTTGGGAGGCTGAGGCAGGAGGATTGCTAATTCAAGGCCAGACTAAACAACTTAGTGAGGCCCTGCCTCAAAATAAAAAAGAAAAACACCTAGAATGCAGGTCAGTGGTAAAGCAAACTTTGGTTCAATTCCAAATACAAAAAAAAAAGAAGAAGAAGAAGTAGAAGAAAGTAACAGAATTATAGACTCTGAAGGGTAAATTTTGTTGTGTAAAACTTAAAATTTAATAAAATGAATGGAAAAATGTAAAGAGCAAAGAATAACCAAGACAATTCTTGAAGAAAACGAAAAATGGGAAGTATTTCTGCACTAGATATCAGGGAATATTATAAAAATCATATGGTTAAAATAATTTATATTGGTTCACAGAAAAATAGACTGTTGATACAAAATAAAAAACTTAGATCTATGTTTATAGGATCTTGATAAAGGATAGAAGGAGGTGGGGAAACGTCTGTCTTTCTGATAAGAGGACATGAGATCACTGGTTTACCATGGTACTTTTTAAAGCATGATTTATTGCTGCCTAACCACACATACAGAGATCAACTAAAATCCCTTACCAAATGCTGTCTAGAATACAGAACAACCAGAAATCATGAACACTACTGGTGAGGATATAAATTGATACAAGTGTTTGGGGAAAGAGTTTAGCATTATTCACCTAAAGTGAAAATGTGCATATCCCAACCAGTTCCACTCCCTGGCAGGCACACATGCAGCAGAAATGTGTGTCCACATGCACCAAGACGCCTGGCAGCATTTGTCATTGTAGCCCCAAACTAGAAATGACATGAATTTTCATTCATCATGGATCAGTAAAAAGTGCTGTTTTCTACAATAGTGCGGCATAAAACAAGTAAAATATCAAATGACTGCTTTGGTTACGTGGTAGCAAACCTGTCCCATTCTCTGGGTTGTCCTTTCCCTCTGTATGGTGTCTGAAGAAAATTGCATTCATGGCCCCAATTTTTCAGAGTCTCCAGCACTC